CTTCGCTCGACTCCTTGCTTCAACTCCCCCATGTTCAACTTTTTACTTCCTCTTCGGGCTCTATGTTTCCTCTTCCTCGATTCTTCATCCGCCCCCCCAATTGAAACGGGATTGCTACAGTGATGGCTACTTTGAAAATCTTAAGGCTAGATCCCAAGCTCTAAAAAAAGAAGAAGGATAGAATAGACCTCATACAAAAAATGAGTTCAACAAGGTGCCAACTGTGGTAGTTTTAGTGAGCAAGGTTGTCTCCATCCCTTGTGCAGAGGTGGCTGAGCTAGTTGGCAGGGATAATGATATATGAGGAGTTAGCGACCAAGGTAGCCCGAAAAAAGGGGTGGAGAAAGTAGGCGGTAATCTGAAGCTCTTCATACTCTCAAAGAAGATTTGATAGGTACATCTTGTGGGTTGAAGAAGATTGGTTGGGCAAATCTTGGTGGGTCGAAGAGGAAGGCTTTTGAAATAGATGAGGACACAAGCGTGGGCTAAGTCAATCACAATATTCATCCATATGGAAGCTTGAAAAAGGATTGCTTGTTTATGATCTAGTTCTTGCGAGCTTTTTTGAGTTAGTTTAGGAGGAGATTTATGGTTTTTGTCCATCGAACCTTCACTTTGCCATCATGAAGGTAAATATTGCCCATTGGCAATATATACACAAATTGGTGAGCTATTTTGATGCCCAACTTAAATTACTAAAAAGCCATGGATGTTTGACTTTTGTGTTAGATGAAAATACATACAACTTGAAAGTTAGCATGTGATAGGGAGATGAGGAGCACTGGGGGTGCTTAAAGTAATTTTTATTTAGAATGACCTAAAATATATTTACTATTGAGACTGTCAATGGAGTTTTTGTTGAAGTTGGTGTGTAGGCGGTGGTAAAGTAATGCCTTTCTTAATTGTGCTTGTGATGTTGGGTTTGCTTTGGTGGTGTGTTTGCAAAGGATGATAAAATAGTGGCTGGGGAAGAGGTTGACTTGTCTCTTCCAATTTCGAAAATTTTATCGACTATGATGTTTTCTCGGGGGTTGTCTCATCTTCATTGTTTGGTTAGGGCCACTTAATAACCTTGAAGATTGGTTTCCATCTTCTTATCATATTCTTCTATGTTGGAGATCCATTGAGTAGTTCAAGATGTATGTTGAACACACGGAAATAGTCCATGGAGGCCTTGAGTAAGAGTGGCTAAAGTAACAAATGGCGCTTTAACCTAAGTCTTTATCTTTGGAAAATTTCACAAATTTCCATAATTTACTTATCAGGCTGTAAGCAACATCTTAAATAAAGCTTGTGAATTCTTTTAGAGGTACTATTTGCTAACAAACATAGTGATGCACATTCTGTTAAACTCGACAAAAACAATTTGGAGTAATTGGTGAGAAAATCATTTGAGGATGAACTCTTTTGAGTTTGTAAAAAGCAATTGGTACTTCATGTTATTGATATTAAGTAGCGAGATGGTAGGTTTAAAGAAGAAGAGATTGTCAATCGATTCAATCGGACTTCGTTAGGAGTCAAGTGTGAAATTTTGAATGGATAGGTGACCTTTTTAGGAAAGGCGTTTATCAGCTGGCAAGGTTAAGGGGACAACCTTCTCCACTAAAACTATCACCGTTGTAACAACAAGCTAATGGTAAAGAGGGACAACCTTCTGTCTTGAGCGAGTAGCTTTTTGGGCTTAGTTGACTATCTGGTTGTTGTTCTGAAGTTTTGGTGGATAGCCTAAGTGAGAACTTCAACTCAATTTAGTAGTTAGCCTTTTGTCTTGAACGATTCGGGAGTTCCTCTAATAGAAGTTGTCGAGTACCTCTGGGCTTCGTTGACTATTTAGGCTGAGTCCGTTCGATGACTTTGATATTGGTTTATGGGTGTTTTTCAAGAGCTTGGTGGATAGCCCTTGTGCTCGACTATTTGGCCAGCCCAGGTCATGGTAGGTGAGTCTTTGTGAACTCGGCTGGTGAGTTCTCTTTGAACTTGGTAAATAAGAACTCCTTGAACTCGTTGGCGAGCTGACTTGAACTCAATTGGAGAGTTCGTCTTGAATCTGCCTAAAATGGCTTGGCAAATTCCATGCTTAGTGTTCTTTTGTTATACTGCTTAACTTTTTTGTTTGGTGATTATTCATGAAACATGCAGTAATCCAGGTTTAAAGTTGCCCAAAAGTTTGAGTTTGTATATGTACATAGGAGGTGCATCTAAAAATTTTGGTTATGATGGATGGTATGATTTGTGCTTGAGGGTAAGTTCACAAGATAGTTTGATAAAGAGTTTCGAAATTAATTATAGGAGAGGGCGTATGATTCATGAAAAAATGTGTGATTGATGAAACATGTTGCAATTAACATAGCTTCTACCATAATATTTTGGAATGTGTGAGCCATAGCTTCTATATTGAAATAATCTAACTAATGTGGACGGCTTTAAGCCTTTATCTTTTCCACTTCAACCATAATTTTAATTTTTTAATATTTTTTATTTTGCATTTTTTCTTCATAAATTAGAAATTAGTATATTGTTAAGATTTTTTTATGTTACTAACAATATTTATTTTTCTTTTGTTATTGGCTTTAATAGCAAATGCTAATGGCACAAGCCATTTCTTTTGTTATTAATAATGCTTCTTATGCGATGTATATTTTATTTGTGATGGGTTTATTGGGAATTACTAATATTAAATGTTTCAATTACATGATTTATATTTATAATTTATGAAAGAGAACATTGTACATGTAGTGTCCATGCTTCATCGATCACGTGATTCTTATAATGTCCTTTATGAATGAAATGAACCAACTTGGCTTGAGGATATTGTTGATACAAGCTGTTCATCATATATCTTTATCTATGGATTGAGTAAAAAGGATGAGTTAGTTTAATAGGGAAAGTATTGTGTGCTTCAATGATTTAAAAATTTTACATTGATAAGGTCCAAATTTTTGCTTGCATAACTTAGAAAATAATCTTTTTAGATACAAGAAATTTAAATAACTTGAGCAATATTCCATAACATGATGGGATTCTCATTTTTCATGCTTGAAGATGAAAGCACATGCCTTTTTTCGTGAATCCCACTTGAGTTCTATTCTAAGCTAGTTGAGACTAGCAACTATCTTACTATCGCCAATCTTCATCCTTGTATCCAAGACCTAAATTCATTTATGTTTGAGAGAGTTAATGATAAAATTATGATCTTTTATAATTTTGCTAATGGAAAGAGGGTTGCAATTTAATTTTGAAAAATGAATTGTAAATTTAAGGGCAATGTCATTTGAAAGTATGATAAATGCAAAAACCTATTATAACAGTAAGAGATTCATATCTAATTCAATAAGTGAGATTTCAAAGCATAATTTATAATTCTGGAAAATATTAGCATTATCAGTCATGTGATCATAAATACCTAAGCAAGAATTTCAGATATAATAATGAGAATGTTTAGAGAGCTCACTTTTTTCAATAATATAAGCTAATTACAAACACAATAATTTGCAGGTTTTTTAAGACTTTATTTTTTGATGAAATAAATGAATTCAATTTGTTCTTTGTTCAATGGACTTTAGGTTAGATGATGGAGTTTTAGTAGAGCATTGTTTTCATGTATTTAATTATTTTATGGTGTATTTGATGTATACTATATTTTTTTTGTTCTTATATCTTCTAACAATTGTCACCATTGTCTAAATATTGTGACAATGATTACTCCCAAGACTCGTCATCTTGTGTCTTATCACCCTCCCAGTTAAATTCTGGCCTCCAAACTTCAATGGAAGAGTTGCTATTATCCATGTATTGAGCATTGTTGGGCATCCCACAATATTACCTTTCTTTTATTTTCTTCTAGTCAAAGCTTGAAGATGGTTCCTCTAATATTGGGTAGAGGCTTCATGCCTGAGATTCTCCCACAATCATGTCAAAATAATTATTTAAACCTAGTAAGAACTTTTACTTGTCCCCTTCCCATTGTCTTTCTATATTTTTTATCATCTTTTGGGTATCTTCATTCGAATTTATCAAAGATGACAACACGAATCAAAAGAATATTGTCACGGCGTCCTCATATTTTTGTATGCTATAATGAATGTTCATGATCTCAAATATGATTGGGGTACTGTCCAATATTGGAGGACTATTTTTCTGCACCCCAAATTTTTTTGGATTTTGAAGTGCATGATATTTACTCCAACTTCATTTGCATTGAAGTTACACCAAAAGTTGGGATTCATTCTTATTGGTTGTGCGGTAATATTCCTTGCCTTTGATATAAACAAATATCATCATTGCTTGTACCATTGGATGAAATTTAGCCTTTGAATGTGTTTCACATGAACAAATGTCATCAATGATATAGATGATGACGACAACAAGTGTTTGTCCCGCTAAGTGGGGCGCTACATGAATCTCTTATCTCCATTGTATCCCATTAAGTGTCATATTTTCATTTATTCTAGTAAATTAAGACCATTGAATAAATTTTTTCTTAGCAATGCCTTTCATACAAACAATTATCATGGTTGATTTAGATCACTGGATAAAATTTATCCTAGCAAATTTGTTGCCAGAATTGAAAAACATAAATCTCTGATGGGGCGGTGCTATTGATTAGAATAGATTCTGCAGAGAGAGAGAGGTGGGAGATAATATGAGCATGAAAATAATAGAAAGAGCCAATGAAATTGCTTTTTACCATGCTTGGAGATTTTATTGATTTAATTCTACAGTGCAGGCTGGGTTTAAATAGAAAAGAGGAGAAATGTGATCCACAAAATCTCCATTAACACCAAATTAATTTATAATTTCCAACCACATGCGCTACTTACAATGGTTTGTGTTACCATCCATTGCCATTTATAATACCACGATTGAATTGTACCTCATGTCAAATTGCAATTTTGCAATGCATGAACATGCACCTTATCTACACCTATTTGAAACTAATCCTGCATGTATTAACTCAAATTGAACCCTTATCTAATTTGTAATGTTTTCATCCTCAACAGTCTGCCCCACCACACTGAAACGCATCTGTCGGCAGCACGGCATTTCACGGTGGCCTTCGCGCAAGATCAATAAAGTCAATCGCTCTATTTCAGAGCTGAAACATGTCATTGAATCAGTTCAGAATGTAGATGTAGCACTTAATGTAAATCCTCTGATCCGTCCACTTCTACTTACACCAGGCACCATGTCCTTGCCTGTCCAATTAGATAGAGATTCTGTATCGAGAGCCGAAAACACTTCACATTTCAAAACATTGGAGGTTAATGATTCACATGATAAAGTAACATCAAAGGAACAACCTTTTTCTACAAATTCAAATCAGTATGCAAGTGTGATTAATTTCCTAGAGGATCAAAATATGGTCCCTCTTTCGTCGCGGACCGACGTTGTTCTCGAGCCAGAGCTTGCAGAGTCTGATATTCTTATTGAAGATTCAACGAGCTCAAAATCAGCGAGAAATCCCCCATCCACTTTCATTCAGGACCGAAAAACTGTCGTCGTAAAGGCTCATTATAAGGAGGACATCATAAGGTTCCGCATGGTGAATGATGCCGGCATAATGGCACTCGCGGAGGAGATTGGTAAGAGGCTGATGCTGGAAGTGGGCTCATTTGAAATCAAGTATTTAGATGATGATCATGATTGGGTTAGGCTTCATTGTGATGAAGACCTGGAGGAGTGCTTGGAGATCTCCTCAATGTCGGATTCATCAGTTATTAGACTCTCAGTTCAAGACATTTGTCTGAAAGCTCCAAAAAATGTGAGGCCTGAAATGTGTATTCCATGACTCAGGGCCAATTGGCTTGTACATATCCATTGTTCCTGTGTGTGGTATTACTACCTTTATTGCTGTATCATTTCATAATGTCATCTAAATGAAGTTCCATTCAGTATTTATTTACACTCGGCCTAAATTAATGTATATAATTTGGCATGGTATGGTATATATTTTATGAAGGCATGAAAAATGGAGCAACATTTGCTAACTTAATGTAGTTAAATTTGATTTTATATTATATTTTATAATTATTAATATAAAATAGCTGATTCATATTACTTTCGTAGAAATAAAAATAAGTAGATTAAAAGAATGTGATTGCAAAGTTTATAGATGTAAATAGCATAATCTTTGGGTGCCATTTAGACATTGTATAAATAATATAAGTGTACAAATGCGTGTGTAAACAAATACAAAATACAATATTTCTTATATAAAATGGATATATATATTTATGTATACGCAAATAGGGGTGTAAACGAGCTGAACACTCAGCTCGTGTTCGGCTCATTATATTTCAAGCTCAAAAAGTGTGTGTTCTACTCGTTTGCTTAGCGAGTCGTTCACGAACAAAGAATCGTTGACAACCCTAATCACGTAGTCATAAGATGTTAAGGATTGTGGCAAGATTTAAAACATCATTTGAATCAAATTTAATAATTTTTATTCTATTTTCTTAATTAATACTTTTAGTTGATTATAAATCTTTGTAGCCTTGTAGTCAATTAAATTTTTTCAAAGTACTATTCATCAAAGATATATATATATATATATATATATATATAGCCAAAACGAGCTGAATATGAACGGACAAATATTTGTTTGTGTTCGGCTCATTAACTTAGCAAACGAGCCGAACATGAGCTTCTTAACGAGTCGAACATGAGCTATTCGTGAACGAGCTGTTTTGACAGCCCTATACGCAAAAGAATTGAAAAATCGCTTTAAAATTGTAGTTAACTCTTTTAAATTAAATTGGATATATAAATACCAAAATAACAATACGGCGTAAAACTTGTCAAATGAAGTTTATGATTCTTGTCACAGACCTATATATATATATATGTATATATATATATGTATATATGTATATATATATATATATATATATATATATATATATATGTATAGTTCTCTTAACTTTACTGATGAATCTTTCTAATGCTTCTAATATCATGAAAAGTTCACTAAAAATTCACAAAACTGATGTTTAATGTAATTATGAGACCCAGTTATCATGATCGCTAAAATATTTTAGGGGCATTTGCATACATACCACCCAATTCCTATGCATTTACATTTCTAACACCTATATTTCTCTTTTTACATTTATAAAATTCTATCTTTCATATCACATCAAAAATATCATTATTTTAACTTTAAGAAAATTAAATACACCTTTTTCTTGAAAGAAAAAAGTGTATTTAATTAAGTATATCTTTTCATGCGTAGGTAGGATTGTCAAAACGGCTCGTTGTTCGCAAACAGCTTGCGTTCGGCTCGTGAAGAAGCTCGTTTTCGACTCGTTCGCTAAGTTAATGAGCCGAACACGAACAACATGAAAAAAGATTTGTTCGTTCGTGTTCGGTTCGTTTTGGCTCGAAATACCACTACTTAATTATATATATATATATATATTTGATGAGTAGTATTTTAAAAAAATTAATTGACTAAAAAGGCTACAAAGATATATAATCAATTCAAAATATTAATTAAGAAAATATAATAAAAATTATTAAATTAGATTCAAATGATGTTTTAATATGAACAATAGTTTTGTAATCTTACCCCAATCCTTAACATCTTATGACTACGTACTTAGGGTTGTCAAAAAGAGACTCTTTGTTTGTGAACGGCTCGTGTTCGGCTCGTTTACACCCCTATGCGTAGGTAAGGTGGTATGTATGTAAATCTTCCAATATTTTAATATAGTACGTTTCCAATTATGAGGCTAAACTACATAATTTGTTTGAAAATAAAATTTGATATATTCGAAATAACTTTAAATAGTTAAATAAATTCGGCCGCTAAAAAAGAAAATGCCATGAGACTCCACTATTTCCGTAATTCAATTCATCCTAGCACTTGAGAGCTCACTGTAACCACACTACCACAGAAATGTTAGATTTAGGCTTCGTCTGAGGAGACGTTGAGGTCTTATTCTGTTAGAGCGAATGCTGTAAAAATTTTTCATTTGTGGAAATAGTGAGAGAAGAATGTGAGTCGAAGGTCTTTTTGTAGAAACAACAAAATTTTGACATTTCAGATCCTCGGCGCAACGGAACTTGGAGCTACCAAGCAAAGATGATACAAACCCACGATAAACTGGTCCGCCCAAGGATGTTCAAAGTTGGCGACTTAGTCCTTGACCTCAAAAGATTTATTCTTGCACACAGCAAGATAGGAGGAAATTTTGATCCGACTTTGGAGGGACTGTTCGTGGTAGAGAAAGTCTACTCCGGAGGATCCTACCAGTTAGTAGACTACCAGGACGAAAGAAATATGCTTCCCATCAATTGAAGAAATGCTATGCATCGTGACGTCTCAAGGGGCAAGCTTTAGAGACAACATTCAATGCCCAAGATACGCCGATGCAACAATTTTTTGTGACTAGGTCCAACAAAATAATTTGTAACAAAATTGATATGATGAAATAAATTTTCATAAATAAAATCAAATCCCTATGCTAAATCTTGACTTCCAAG